ATACGATAAAATAATAATTATGCTAATATTTATACATTCAAGAAGCTAATACTAAAAATCTATTCTATAACACTAGTTTATTATTCTTTGCCTAATCAAAGTGTAGCTCACTATTTATTAGCTAGATTTTGTACTATCTATAGATTTTACATCTTATCTAGAACTACTTTATTCTCAAAATAAACTTAACAGAGTGATACATGTTTCATATATGTATTTACCTGCATGTTTGATAACTTCTTTCTAACTAGTACTTGTTGTATTGCTACTATTGGATGCATGTCTCAAGCTATCTTTTAAAATATTGCTATAATCTAATATATATCTCAAACTACAACTTTCTTATATTAGTAGTTAGTTATTTACTTTTTGCTCTTGTATTTGGATTTATACAACCTCAGTATTTATAGTTGAACTTTTCTTCTTCTTCAAATTCTTTATTAATCTTTTCTTTACTTCTAGCTAGCAACTCAGAAAGGTTGGTTTATCTAGATCTTAGATATCTATATAGTCTTTCTTCCTTTAGTATATACTTCTAGAGTATATTCTTTTTTTTTAGTTTAACAACTTAGTAGTTTAGCTGGAATATTACTTTATTTAAAGACCTTGATCTGGTTACTTGGTTCTCCAATTTCAGTTTTTAGTTTCAAATTTAGTTTTTTTATAATACTATTAAAGATTGTGCTATCTCTAAACTTAGAACTTGCCAAACAGGTTTTTGGTATTCTGGTACCTTGGGTTTGTTGTATCAAAACTTCTATTCTAGATAGTATGACCAAGGTTACAGATTTCTAGATTTTATTAATCATTAAATAGCTATCAACTATATCACAAAGCTATTTTTCAAAAATATTGTTTATGGGATTTGAACTCTAGACCTGCCATTTGGGGGAGTAACAACTTCTTTATACAAATTTTAAAAGCTAAATTTTTTTAATTTTTTAATAATATATATATATATTTATAAATTAATTTTTATAGATTTATTATAATAAATATTTCCTTTAATAATACTAATTTTGTTTTTTTATAAAACTAGTTTTAAAAAATATAAATTGTATTTAAAAATAAAGCTTTAGTTAAATAATATTTTATTATATAAGTATTTTTTATTAATACTAATTATTATTATTATTATTATTATTATTTTGTAAATTTTAGTTTTTAAAAATTACTTTTTAAATAAAAATTTTAGCTAAACAAAATTAATACTGTATTGTAAAAAATATATTTTTTTTAAAATAATACAGTACTATTTTTTTTTTTTTGTAAATTTAGCTCTTTTAAAAATACAAATTATATTTAAAATAAAAAGTTTGATAAACAACTACACTTTTTTTAATATTCTTTTTTTATTAATATTAATTCTTTTTTTTTTTTTGTAATTTCAATTTTTGAAATATAAATTGCTTCTAAAAAATCTTTTTTTTTTATTTTTTTTTTTTTAATGGCACAAATTCTATTTTCGGTTCAATAATTTTGTTAAAGACCTATAATAAAAGTAAATATTTATCTTATTATTAATAATTTTTAACCAATTAAATACAGCTAATAGCCACGATTAATTTTTTCTATCAATCGGATTATTTACAGTGGCAAACCTATTGGGGAACACCCTTAATTAGAAAAACCATAATAACTATAGTAAAATGAAACAAACCAGATACAGTAAACATAAATTTCTCATTGCCACTGGTTTATGTATGCAATTTTATTTTACATTCAGTAAATAACCATGGCATAATTACAGGAAAATACTGGTTCACGGAATTATATTAAGAAAATTTGACAATTTACATATTCGGATGTAGGACTGTAAATAAGTTGAAAACAGCATTTAATCTTGTTTTCGTAATTTTTCTATTAAAGAACCTAGGAGGCCTTGTGATATACTGTGTATCTTAAGGAGTATGTAAATTTCATCCTTAGAAACACCATAAATCGCAAGATCTCCATACGTCTCTAGTTCTAAGCTAGTAAGAAGTTATAAAATTTCCTATTAAAGAGATGCGCTGAGGCTGATTTTTTATCAATAGATAAAAAAAAAATCAGATAGCTAATAAAGTAATTTATACTGAATCATTCAATCTCATCATTGCTCCCACTTTAGAAATTATATATGCACGCAAGGATATAAGTAAGAAAGTATTGCGAAAAAAGGTATTACGACAAATTGACGTATGTATAGTGATCCTAGTGATCCTAGTGATCCTAGTGATCCTAATGATCCTAATGATTCTACGATCGTTTTTATAAGGAAACTGCTCATCTTCCCGACAGTCATTTCCTCTACAGGACATTTACCCGACATCACATAGGGTTAGGGTTGCATTTGCTTAATTGTAGATATATATTGTTAGTAAATTGTCACGTATGTGATATCGGGTAAATTGCCCGTAGGAGAAATGATACGTAGTACCTTTTATACTTCGTAATTTTTAATACATATTTGATATTCTTCTATCCGAATAATTACAGTAGATTCGACGATTTTTTTCTAGAAGGAACGATATAAAAATTACATGCTTCCAGTTACATACATACGTACGTACGTACGTACATGGCCATGATAATTTTCAATTCGTCACAGTATTAAAATTACGTTTTTTAGGTTACGCTTAGATGCGTTTTTTTTTTTTTAAAAAAAAAAAAAAAAAAAAAAAAAAATTACGTTTTTTAAGTCTTCATATAAATTATAGAATGGCAACTATTTCCTTTTTAAAACTATAATGATCATTGTTAAGAACAATTGCGATTTTTTTTATATTTTAAATATTTTTAATTTCGTCGTTCCCTTCCTTACACCATTTTCTTACGTTTCTCCTTATATCATTTCTTACATCCATTAACATTCCTCCTTACATTCCACCTTAAATTATTCTTTGTAATTAAAATTAGGATATAATGAAATGATAAGACTTTTGTGAGCTATAATCCATGATCGTCGATAATGATTGACGTTCAAGGTATTCTTATCATCAAGGTCCAAGACATGTATTCTGCCGATTTATGACCACGTGAAGCAGCACGGTGCACATAAATTTTAAAAGGAAAATTCTAATACTAAATTATATTGACATTTATAGTAATACGGAATACTAATATGTGCTTACGAAACGGTTTTGGTGCAGGCGCATGCATCCAATTTTTATTCAGGATACCAATTTTCTATTTGTTTCTCTTCGGCGTAGGTATTATACTTAATTCTGAACTCCGTCTAATATTATTATTTTACTGTTACTTTATTTCGTGCGACTTTTTTGATGTAGACAATAATCACGGGATTCAGGTTTTTACTAGATATAAACTCGTTCTATAAACATCACGTGTTTAAAAGAGATTATCATACTAAAAATGAGTACGTGATTGTTTGTCAATGCATGTCATCCCGCAGGGTCGTACAACGTTATATGCAAATGACTAGTTGCTCGCATCTTCAAATTTTATTTATCCATATATATGGTTATATTACAACCAATATATAATCATCAAAATAGCCTCTCCCATTTTTTTTTAAAAAAAAAAAACGCACTCACCCACACACGTTTATACTCGATAAGCATTTAGAGTTATTAGAAGTAAAATGGCATCCAGAAAATTTTTGGACGTTTTGATCCGAGACTATATGTCCGTTCTTAACAGTGGTGATTATGCAGACGTTATTCTCCGAATTGGGGATGATGAACACTTTAAAGAGTTTCGTGCACATTCTATTGTTTTGCGCACTCGGTCACCTTACTTTCGAACTGCACTTTCTGACAGATGGGCTCAAAAACAAGATAATGTAATTATTTATGAGAAACCAAACATCTTACCTGAGGCCTTTGAAGTTATTCTCAAGTAAGTAAATTATCTTTTTATTTACACATTCTATGAATTTTTATTAAAATTATTTATCATTTTTAATATTTATTATTCTGATATTTTTTTTTTTTAGATATATATATAGTGGAGTTCTTGATTTGAAAATACATGATGTAAAAATTATTCTTAACATTCTTGTTGCGTGTAAAGAACTCTGTCTTCTTGACCTCTTCGATTACATGCAAGATTATCTTCTTAATAATATGTCAGAAGCAATGCAACAAAATTTTAGTCTCGTTCAACGTATTGCCTCACAACATAATGCTTTTTCAAAATTACAAAGATTTATTAAAAAGTTTATGGATCATAATCCACATTTGATTTTCAAAACTGATGATTTTAACACTTTGGAACAACACATTTTGATTTCTCTTTTACAACGTGATGATCTTTTGATAGAGGAAATTGACGTATGGGAAGCCGTCGTTCAATGGGGAATCGCTAATACATCGTCTTTACCAACAAATAAGGATGATTGGACGAAGGATAATTATTCAAATTTGGGCGCAACTCTCGAACCCTGTATTGCCCACATAAAATTTGGACAAATCACATCTGAAGATTTCTTCCAAAAGGTTGAACCTTATAAAGAAGCAATCGATAAAGATTTATATGATGAGATTGTTAAATTTCACTCTGGAGCTGCCGCGAAATCTAAGTCTACTATACCTTTATCTCAACGTCGAGGTGTAGATTCAGTACTTATTGGCGTAAAACATTTACATCTCTTCACACGATGGATTGATCATAAACCCGATTCCATATATAGTAGAAACAATATTCCATATGAATTTAAATTGCTTCTTAGAGGTAGTCGAGATGGATTTACACCTCAAACTTTTCATGATTTATGCGATGAAAAGGGTCAAACCTTAGTAGTAGCAAAAATTAAAAACACAGATGAAATAGTTGGTGGTTACAATCCAGTAAGCTGGGACTCATCTGATACAGTATTAGAAGTAAAAAATAGTTTTGTTTTTAGTTTGAATGAGGATTTAGATAGTTCGATTCTTAGTAGATCCGTTGGTACAATTTCTTCAATTTGTAATTCTCCTTTACATGGTCCTGTTTTTCGAGGTATTCTGATTTTTAATGGTGATTTTAAAAATGATTGCGCTTCTTATTGTAATTTTGATAAAGCTACTACCCCTTACGAGGGTCCTATTAGGAAAACTAAAGATAAGTTTTCTGTCGATGAATTAGAAGTTTTCCAAATTATCAAAAAAAAATTATAGAGTGAAAAAAAACTTCAAATATTTGTATTTCTTTTTTATTTACTCATTAACAGATCATACTATTTTTATTATATTTTTGGTTGTATTATATATAGAACTTTTTGGTTACAAATTACGGAAATAAACTGATGGTTTAGAATTCATCTCTGCATCATATTTCGCACTCCATGTGGATTTTATATTTAAAATGCATGTATATTTTGTATATTCGATTGTGTATTTTTATGAGAAATCATTTTGTATTACCGTTATTAACAAAGTAAAAAACGATGTGGTGTTCTGAAATATAATATAAGATTTCATTATTATACTATACAACGTTAGCTATATAATGTATATTTATACGTATTACTTATCGTTATAATTGTTATAACAATTTAGTCAGACCTCTCGATATAATTTCTACATGTTTATAAAGAGATTTTATACGTAGTAAAATATATAGATCTAAATAATGATGTGACCATAAATAAACATGGCAATACGTATAGACTATACGGAAGTTTGATCATACAGTACTATAATTTTAATAACATAACGAACTTTGTTTAAAAAATAACCGTAATTTTTATTTAATAGACAATATCGATATAAAAAGCTATATAGTTTTTTTGATCTGGACATTACTCCGGATATTCCAAGGTTTATGCTGTGTATTCGGATACAGCCAACTATGACATACGTAACGGATAAGAGAGTCAACTAACTTTTAAATTTAAAATTTATTATGAATCAGTTTTATACATAATAGTAAAAATGGTCTTAATTAAAATCCGTTATGTCCATAAGAAACCAGAAATAATTACATTCGTGCTTTTTATATTCATAGGCTATTTATAATTTTATCTATAATTAGTCTGTATCATATTTTTAATATAATTAATACGTAAGAATTCTCTAATAACCTTAACGTTAGTCATAACTCTAACTTAAACTTTAATTGGGAGATCCCCAATTAAAGTTTGAGTTCAGGAATTGTTCGTACATGTGATCATCCGAGTATCATCTCCGGTCTGATTAGTCCGGAAAATAAATGCTTTAACGTTAGTGTTATAATACCAACCCCCCTAGCGGCCTAATTAAAAATGTTTCTTGTGAAATTTTACTAATAGCAATAACCCTAACTCTAACCCTAACCTTACACTGTTCTCGCTCTAACCCTAATTAT